GAGTTATGATGAAATAGTGTTAACCGTGTGTGGATGAAGTAACGTTAGTTGAGTATGGATGACATGGTGTTGGATGCATAAAATTGTAATACTGTGATGAAGTTGAACCCCCCCCCCCAAAAAAAACAACACAGAAAACAAACTTCAGATCATTTAGTACCGAATGAATTTTCCAACTCTCAATAAACAATAATGCGAACCCTAGAGGGACTGGACTCAGCAGGCAGCTTACCAGTGACACTGGACAAATATCTGAATGCATGTCTAAGTCATTCATGGTCTTTCTTTTAGCAATGAGCTAGATGGGAAGCACGATTCAGAGGTAACTATCATTGAAATTATTGCTTACTTTATTCAGAATCATTTGTTTAGAATATTTTATAGCTCTTTCTTTTCCTTTCAATCAAGCATCAAAACTGGCAGGGTAACTATTGTAGCATACATGTGGGGCCTAGTATTTGTCGCGATACGTCTTACAAAAATGTTGAGATTCTTTCTTTGCTTCACATTCCTGTGCCAAGAAATCTCTCCTAAAACATTCTCAAATGTTTGGTCAAAGTTTTCCAAAGCTATGTAGGAGAATTCATGTTAAAAAAGTCTAAAATATTTGTCTATATGTTAAAAATGAAAACATTGAAACAATTTTTTATAGTTATTCCCATGTCATATATTTTATGTTCCAGAGAATTTCTCTCTTGTTCTGCGAAATTCATAATCCTTTATTTAATGTTTGATAATTAATTGCTTATTATTCGTAATTTTTCTTAAGTTTAAGACATTGGAACTTTTTAACTCATTTTTCATGCGTTGCACAAAGTTTGGGGCAAAAGTTATGGCAAATATATTTTAAACACACACACAATATTATATTCTGAGTGATAGAAATGCTATACTAAAGTGTGTTTACAGCAGATGCCTCTGAGGGTGTCTTAATTAGCAATGAGAGAAATGTGAAATCGATTGTCGAGGGGCGGCGGTGGTGCGGTTAGCGTACCGGACTGTTGTACCCGAGGGTTCACCGATACCCGAGGGTTCAA